AGGCTTCAAGTGCATGCACAATAGTAAGCTTAACCATATATAGGCCTGTCAGTAACACAAATACTATACAAAGCAACAAATATATTGAATATAATGCATGACTATTCAGGACTTTATTGTAGCTTCATGCTCCAGAGGCCTACATGGCGCGAGCCTAGGCCTCATTTTGTTGATGGGTTCAACATAAAGATTGTACTTACCTGTAGTTGAAGAGCCGCTTGTCTGTGGTCAAATCAGACACGGGGTATGGCCTCATCAGGTAGGGTTTGAGGCCAAAGCCCTCATCCCCTATGATGACGTAGGGCGCCACCTCTCTCGACCGCGGAAGCAGCTCTGCCTGAGGAAGCATGAGCGGCTGCCTGTCCAGCGCCTCTTTGAGTCTGTAGGTTCCCCAGATGCCACTGTCATTCGTTCGGCCGTTGCGGCCAACATCCACAAAGATGAAGTTCAGGTCCGCATCTACCAATGCCATTAGCACAATGCTAAAAAAGCCTTTGTAGCTGCGGAACTGTGCTCCAGATTGATGAGGTGGCACAAGGGCGATGTGCTTTCCATCCAATGCTCCCACGCAGCGAGGGAACTGCCAGAGGTCCTGGTACCCCTGTGCGACAGCCTTGCACTCAGCAGGGCTGCTGGGTACCTGCAATAATAGGTAATTTGTGCGTGCGTTTATTACAGCTGCTCATGTGTGTTTCGATTCCCATCACCCGGCGGAACACAAGCGCGCCGTGGTACGGACACTGTTGTCGCGTTGCGATGTGTTGCCTTCGAACGCTGACCTCCGGTCCCAAGAACTGACAAGGATCTTCACTTTTTTGGGCGGGCGCAATTATCCAGGATCCTTCATAAGTGACACGCGTAAGTGCATGCCACTGTGCAGAGTAGACACTGGAGGCAAAAGGAAGCCGATAGTGTGTATTCCCTATGTCCGGGGAGCCTCGGACTCGATTAGAAGAGCTTTGACCTCTTTGGGCATCCGGACTGTGTTCAAGCCTGCGTACACTTTGCCGAACGCGTTTGCTAAGCCAAAAGACATTACGCCCACCAACACCCAGACAGGTGTGGTCTACAAGGTGAACTGTGTCGACTGCGATGCCACGTACATCGGAGAAACCGGCATACGGAGGAGCACTCGGCTTAAGGAGCACAGAAGGGATGTGGTGAAGGCCACGCATGCCACGACAAGCAAGTCTGAGCTCGTCGACCACAGCTGGACGACTGGGCATACGTTTGACTTGGACAATGCGGCGACCTTGGCTCGTGAGCAGCGTTGGGGCCCGAGGAAGTTCGTGGAATCGTGGTTTATCCGCCAGGATCCCAAGGCGTGCAACAGAAACCGGGGCCTTCTACCGGACGTTTACGGGGACTGGTTAGATTAGAGTCGACTGGTTTTGACTCTCCTCACCATTGGGCCAGTTCATACTGATGATGCCATCCGGATAGGTGGCGAAACGTCTGTGTTGTTATATTTTTTTGTTGTTGTGTTAAGCCAGTGTAAACTTATTTCATTACGACTACCCCTGGCTTTTGGAACATATTTGCGCCCTCGAGGGAGGAAGGCACTGTGCATTCCTAAGCTGACAGTGCCGAGGTCATCACCTCACCGCTCTCTGAGCGTGGTTACGGGAGAGAGCGTGATCACGTGATTTAAAGTAGGCCTGCAATTGGTTCACCGAGCTCTTTAGCTTCCTCTACACTCTCAGCTTAAGGTGATGGAGTCCAGCCCGCGAAACACACGCATGCACCAAGGCCACACGCAGGGATGGGCAGTATTTCAAATACAAGTATTTGAAATACATATTTCAAATACTTTGTGTATTTTGCATTTGTATTTAATTACAAATTGGGTAATGTATTTGACGTGTGTATTTAAATACTAAAACGTGGGTATTTCAAATACAATTGTAATTAAATGCAATTTTGTGGGCGAAAATACATCCCTCAAATTTATTGTCACGACAATTCTTGTTTTTATCCAAGTGGTAGTAAGATATAGTCTCCATCCTTTATTAGGCCGTGGGGCTTTTTCCTTTTCTTCTCCGGCTTTATTTTAAAGGCACTGTCGAGAGCAGGAAGAAAACTATGTTCTGCACCGAATGCAGTGTCTCTCAATCAAGCACAAGCGTTTAGTGACTTTGTGATTACGGTGCTAGTCCAGGGCAACAATAGTGACGAAATCGACGCTCACAGGCCGACTGGCTAAATAAGTGCCTGTGACAACTTGTGATACTTTCCAGCCTGATTTCCATCCATATTTTTGCCTGGAACATTCTAAATACGCGGGTCGTCCAGGTTTTCGTAAAAACGTCTCTAGCTAGTGCTGCGCGTCTTGGTCGTCTCGGTTCATTGTTGGTCTATACCAAAATGTAATCGATAAAAAAGCTGGTTGAAGCTCTGTACTTTTTTCACCTATTACGTCCAAGCTGATTACATTGTTTTGTGATTATATTTCTATTACGTTACTAGAGCCTCGCACACTAACCCCCGAGTGTGCGATGCAAAATTGAAATGAGATACCCAGAAACCCGTTGCAGGTGCCCTGATGTCGCTGACGCAAATTTTGAAAAATGTATTTGGAAAAGTATTTGGAGAAGACCAAATACAGTTGGTTGTATTTGTATCCTGTATTTAAGTGCTTTTTTGGAAATGTAATTAGATTTGTAATTAAATACATTTTCGACGAAGTATTTTGTATTTGTATTTCGATACATATATGCATGTATTTTGCCCATCCCTGGCCACACGATAAGGTAGTGACTGGAAAACGGTGGGGACGGCCTCCTCAATTTCCAACACGCGTATCCGCGAACTGTAAGTGGGCAGGTGCGCCTCGCATTTTATGCATGTTTTTTTTTTTTTTTTTTTTTAGTGGCTGAAATAGCTCTTTGCTCCAAGGAACAAGAATGGCAAGATAATCATGCGCATATCAGGACACCGTGGTGTCCGTTTCTAAGTTTTCTGATTGCATTTAATTGTTTAGCAGACCGTTTTTATCGGGCGAAGCTTTTCGGCATCTCCGCCATCCACGCTACCCTATACTGAAACCGGCAAGAACGGTGCCATAAATGTGTGTGGTTCAACAATGCTATTTCCATGGCCTGCAGGAACTGTAAGAAACGGCTCATGGAGAGAGGGCGTGACTCCTGTTGGAGCCATGAGGCAGTTTCGAAGAGGAGGCAGTAACAGCAGCGACGACGCCAAAGCAGTGCGGGAGCTCTACACACGGTACTTTGTCAACGAGGGACAATTCAGCTGGCAGTGGCGAATGGTCGCCTAAGAAGGTACTAATTAAAAACAGTTTGCATGCTTTTATTACTCTATGAGGGTTGCACACAATATTTGTAGGAGTCCATAAATAACACACTTGGATGACACCTGTTATACCCGATCTAGGTATTCGAGAGGGGGGTGGTGGGGGGGTTTGTGGTGAAGAATTGTGTAGAGGAGGTACATGTTCCTGCGCACGGGTATTCATAGGTTGGATACTAGTATGCACAGGCAATGCCATTGCACACTGTCATTTCTTTGTGGTATTCCATGGGAAATTTTCTCAGTACTGGGTTTGTGAACGTGGGTGCAAATCAGCAGCTTACCTGCATCGGTCTTGTCATTAAGGGTAGACCCATCGAACTACTATTTGCTGTTCCGTGTGGTGGCGGTGCGGAGATGTACAGCATCACACGCCCCGTCAGTGCTCAGGGGCATTTAAAAATAATTTTACTGTCTTGAAACATGCAAGAGAAACATAATTGTATGAGATTTAGAAAAATAAGCATGAGCGATAAGTTTATTGCATGCACAGTGCCAAAGAAGCTCATATTGGCCAAGGAACGCTTTCAGAATGATGATGGTCCGTAGCGATCTTGGTGCGACTGGTTTTAACGACCCCTTCGAAGCTTTGAAAGGGTTCAAAATGGCTATCACCATGGCAACCGACAGCGATGAGCCAATCACCTTGAGAGGTTTTGTCGTCTGTATGTTGGTAGTTGTTTATGTCCGGCTAGCAGGTGGTAAAGCAATGGGCGCTACTTTCCCAGACCCAGTGACTAGTTTTTAACAGTGTTGATTAAAATTGATATCCTTTTTCGGTAATGATCATTTGTGGGACTTCAAAGCGTCTGACCCACATTTCGATCCGAGTGCGAGCCGCAGTAGTTGCTGACGACCAGAACTCGGGGAAACTTCTTGCTCATAGTCATGGCCCCCAATACCGTCGGGTTCCCGGGAGAGCCGCTGTCATCTCAGAATCTCGTAATATGGGCGTGAAGCTTCACTCGCTGAGGGACCGCGAATCCAAGGCAGCGTAGTGGGTGAAGTCTGGTGTGGCTTGGTTCGGACCATCAGTATGTATAGGCGAAACTTATCTACATTTATTTACATTATTTAGTCAATAACTGGCTTGATCGTCGAGCTGCCTTTCATAGAATCCCCAAAATTGTACTGCCTGTGCACCTGCGCTCACGTGCGACTTAGCATGCAGTGTCCCATCAGCTCAAGGTCACCACACCTCACAGCAAAATGCTTGTAATAAAGAGAGCCCTCATGTTGACTACAAGTTTAAAATAAGGCTAAGATACGACTGTTGACTAATTGATGCAGTGGCTAATAGATGGCATCTTCTTTCTGCAAGTTATGCAAAAAGTTTAAGATCTGTGCTGCAGCAGTGCATGCAATACATAATTTGCAAGCACCATGCAACTGTAGCCCCAGCCTGCATCCTCTGGCCATAGGCCTAGCAGTCTGTATTTGTACATTGTTGATTTGTGCTGCCTGATGGGAAATGCCTGTATTAAGAGGTTTCCATTTCTCAGCCCAACTGAATTTGTAAATCTAGTAGGCAATTTAGTAATGACCAAAGCTACAAGATGTGTGGGACAAGCAGACAGCAATATGCAAGGAAGCAGAGACCTTTTTCAATAGCCAATTTGAGGCAACATACAAGCATAATATGGCAGCAACTTTCGTATCAAGGAACAGGCTCCAGCCCACTGTACCTTTATTTATTCAGGTGCCACCCGTACAATTTCTGGGCTAGTGTTGAGGTTGAGGTTGTACTTTACAACAGCCTCATATGCCAGCAAGCCTGCCATCTGCCTGTGAGGGCCTTGTGGCACATGACGGAGTGCGTGGGCGATCGACACGCCAAAGTCGTCGCACTCGTCTCTGGCTGCTGCTGCCGCGCAGCTCTTATTAAATGTCTGCACAGCTGTTTCCAGCAGCAGTTTCTTCTCGGCCATGCAGTCCTCGGGCTGCTTTCTTTTTGGGGCCCGGCTTTGATGATCACCCCCTCTGGTGCTCGTCCCTTCATTGCAGGATCTACGGGGGCTACCGGTAGTGCCACCCTGACTGGTCCTTTGGCTGGTCCCCTGACTTCTCCCTTGGTTGCTGGCCTCATCCTCCAGGTCCAGACTTAAGGGATCGACCGGCTCACTGCCCTCCAGGTGCCCCCAAGGGCTGTCGTCATCTTCTGGTGGAGATTCTGATTCTGCCTGTGAATGTGGAAAAACGATCACATTAATGAGACAATGATTTTGCTTGTAGAAAATGAATGTACATAATGCATAGAGCAGTTTCTTGACCCTAATAAGTTTCTTCACGTGCATTGAAAAGTATTTGTTGTTGAGTGTTTTTTTTAGATAAAAAAACAGAAAGCAAAAAAAAAGTACTGGCAATCAATTTTTGGCTTTTAAAAAGGGCTTATGACCCAGCTCCGCATGCTATTGAAGGTGTTTATTGATCGGGGTTGATGACGTATAGTGCCTAGCGAAACTCTTGACATGCATTACGTTCTACACCCATACATGTTAATTAAGAAAATTCTAATTGTGCTACAAATTTTTCTGCTGCACATTAGCACCTGTAATTCCATAGCGCAAAGCTTTGGTCTGAAAAGTAATATAAACCTGGAATTATATCCTCCGATAGTTGCTGTAGTATGTAGACGCTTTGCACATATTTTTGGCAGTTTGGATACAGTGCTCAATTTTTTAGTGAAATATTTCTTTCCCAGCACTGCTATTTCAAGCAAATAAGTGAAGAATGCCTTTTATCTCATTGTACTTTTCATGAAATTGGTGCGTAGTGTGTGAGCACTGTCTGATTTGAAGATGTGGTTTCTAGGATTTTAAAATTTTTACGGTAAAGCCTTAAGTTCTGCATTTGTGACCATTGAAACGACGAGCAATCATTCTCAACCATGGAAGTGCCTGAACAAAGAGGTTCTCTATGTACTAATAAACATGTGACTAAATGCTGCTCTTGTATATTACTTACACCTGGGGGAGCCATATTCGACTCGCTGCCGTGCTGGGGGCATGCACTCTGCAGAAAGAGCATCTCCCTGTAGTGAATCCATCTTGGGACGTACACATCCTCGGTGCCTTTCCCGGATTTTTCGGAGCACTTCACTTTTTTATGTTCTCTGTTGAATTGGGAGCGCATTTTTGAGAAGCGGCTCTTGATTGCCTCCCCTGCATAAAACGAAAGCCTTTATACATTAAACAGATCAATGAGTACAATCAAGCCTGTCATTTATAAATGAGCTTCATGCGCTCCGAACTATCAACATGTGAGTAACCTGTAGAATTCTGCTGTCGGCTCTTTTTAGCAAAAAGACTAATTTGCTAGAAGAAAAAAAAAAACTACAGAGTAGCAGAGGATATCAGTATTTCATAAGGCGAGTTTCGCAAATAGAGAAGTCTGCCTAGAAGGCAACGCGCTTGCAGGCGGGGAGGCGACCAAAACCGCCTCCCGCTTGCGGGCGCGCACGCACGCACATAGTCCAGTACAGAAGCACACGATGTGCGATACTCTAAATAATAGAATGCAATATCGTATCATCTCGGTCGCAAGCACCGTTACGTTGAATGTACGCTTTAAAGACGTGAAAATACGGGCGCGATGTGACAGTGTGAATGCACGTGGGATTATTTCTTTTGTACATACCCGTGAACTTGGTTGCCATCGCTTGAGCAATGTCACTGTAGGCTCTTTCCTTCACGTCGCGACGATGATAACATTTATCCTTCACGTCCCACAAGAATCTTCTTTCTTCAATCATTGCGATAATCTCCGATTCCTCGGAGGACGTGGTGCTTGACGGCGACGGCATCTTGAAGAATGACTTCGTAGCAAAGAGCGGCAGTGCGGCAAGCAAGTTCGAATAGCGATATCGATATGGTTGGGACAGTTGGGAGTTGAGAAAACGCATACTTAAATATTAAAGTAATATCTCGAGTCTCTCTGCCTCGAGATATATATATATGTTGCCGTGTTTCCGGCCCGAAATTCGCACAGCCAGCGATCAGGGCAACATGCGTTGCCCAACACAAGTTGCTGCTGTTTTTGTTGCCGAAAGCTGTCATACCGAGGCAACATTTTAGTTGTCGTCCATGTTGTGCTGCTGTTGCCCCGATGTGACAGGTTTGTCGGACAACACGGGGAGCGAGCAACAAGTTGCCCGACTGTTGGACAACGTGTTGTGTTGTTGTTGCCGTCGTGTTGCCTCAGTGTGACAGGGCCTTAACGTCACGGGCGCGTTGAGACTTGTTGCCGCAGGCCCCGTCACGCAGGCGACGGTCCCGGACTCGTCGGGACTCGTTTCGCGCAGGCCCCGACATGCGGGCGACGGTCCCGGACTCGTCTTGACACGTTTCCGCAGCGTTGAAACTCGGAAGAAGGTCGCCGAAGGTTCCATCCTTAACAACTCTTTCCTTCCTCTAAATCACAAATTGCATGGCCCAAACGAACGATCTGTTGCCCTGAATGAACCTTGAAGAGACAAGCGGCAAGACCCCTTTTGACGGGTTTACTACGGTTGATAGAATGCCATTTCGTCGAAGCACGTTTTAGAGAACGGGCACGTTTTATCGAAGCACAGTTTAGAGAAAGCAGAGCCTCAGTTTAGAGAAATGCCGTTTATCGAAAAGGGGACGCTATTTAAAAAAAAAAGGGTTTTCTACTTCGCGCGTGTATCACTGCTGTGCGTGTTAACCCAAGCCCCCCGCTGCGCTCCCGCCGCTTCGCGGCGGCAGTCTCCGGCGGCTCATTACAAAAATGTTAACTCACCTGACTTATCCGCACACGCCGCTTCGCGGCGGCCGAATTCGCTAAAAGGAGGCTCATCGCCTTTTTCTCTAAACTGGCTTTCTCTATAAAGGAATTCGATAAACTGGGGTCGGTAAAACGGCGTTCGCTAAAACGAGCTTCTCTAAACCGCAGGACTCCGCCTTTTGGCAACGGTTTGAGATTTGAAAGATAATTATAGTTCCATTTTCCCAGGTCCTTTAACACCGTGCTGATCAAACTATATAAAAAAGTATTTTACTTTTTTTCTTTTGCCGGGGGGGGGAGTGCCATTGACACACAAATATTCGGAATTTATCGGATAAATCCGAATTTACCAAAATTTTACCGGCTGGTGTTTTTCGAAGTTTTTTGGATTTATCCGAAAACACGGAGCCCTACCTATACTGGAACCGGCAAGAACGGTGTTCCGATCACCAGCAGCGCATTTCGTCATAGTGCCAAGTGCGATCTTCAACATACGGATTGCCAAGACCATGGCTATTCTTTTGGCAGCGCCTACTCACCGGTGATCTTCCTTTGTTGCGGGTGTACTTGTGACCACTAGCTTCGACGGACCGAAGACACGACGGACCGCCTTCTCTTCCATGTGAGTGACAAGCAGAGGTCCTCTTCAACATTGGGGATAGGTGTGCTTGCTACGAAATGTACGTTTGGTCGCTATCCGATGAGTTTGAACCGTATCGAACTCTGTGCCAGGAATCTTCGACGAGTTCAACGTGTAATCTACAGCGATCGGCCCCAAAGGCTTCAGCGCTATTTGTAAGTGTTTTTTTATTCTAATAGACCGTGAGAGACGTTCGGAGTGGTTATTTCTGTGTTCGAAGTCAAACTGGTATTTTAAAATATGGCTGTCGTCTTGGCGGTAGATGTGTGCTGTAGTAAAAATTCCTCCCGGTATGTCCAAAGCCGAATACCACAGAGCGTTGAGTAGTCTTTATTTGCCAAGGTTCGGCTTGTTGGGTGCGAGTGGAGCGTCCGTTATGTCACCGCGATCTGTGGGTGTAATTGCCAGTGATTGTATTTACACGGCAAGCTATTTTATGTGTGCCTTTAGAGTGCTTTCCAAGCCTTTAGAGTGCTTTCTTTCACCCAGTCTCAGCTGAGACACTGATTCGAGCAAGCCGGTCTTACCTGCGCATCCATTTATTTTAGAAGGCAGTACTAAGTTTTTTACATACAAAATAACGAAAAATAATCCACTGGAAAATAAAGTTAATAGTATGGGAAAGTAAACATAAAAGGTCGGTAGGCCTTTTCCTGGATTTTATACTTGAAGAGCAACTGAGCCGATTAATCGAATAGTTAATTAAAGGGCAGCGATTACTAATGAAGCTATATTTTATTTTGATATTCATTATTGACAAGCGTAAGAGAGAACTGAGAGCCTCTGAAAACCCTTCACCTAAGTGCAAACCCCTGCATCTGTCTCTTTCAGAATACTGTGGCAAGGCCCCTGCGTGGAATCCCATCAATTTCCTGCCCGGTCCACAGCTTGCAATGATGGACCCTGGCACTTATTGTTGTTTAAATTTTCCTTCGATCTAAGTTTTTAATATAATGTTTTGGTGGGGAGGCACTCGCTTGATCGAGTGACGTTTTAGCGAACGCCCACGTTTCACCGAATGACACTTTAGCGAACAGTCGGACGCCGCGAAGCGGCGTTTTCGGGTGGGCCAAATGGGTTCACATTTTTGTAATGAGCCGCCGCCGACTGTCGCCGCGAAGCGGCGTAAAGCGCAGCGCGGCGGATGGGTTAACGCGCGCCCCCGTTATTCGCTAAAACGTCGATTCACTCAAATGTCGCTGTTCGCTAAAATGTCATTCGCTCATCTGATATGGACCCGTTTCGGTGGTACACTTTGCATTGCAGACATATATATTTACGTGCATGTAATATTGACTTAAAATTTTCCAGAGTGAATGTGGCTTGTCCACTGCAGCTTTCTTTTTAGATCTATATATGGTGTTCTACTGTTCTACTGAACACTATAAATACATCTGAAAAGAAATCTGCATGCCCGCTTAAATGGCTGCCGAAATAGTGCAACCCGAGCTTAAAATCGGATGCCGAAATCAAACTACCCAGAGCGTACGGTTGGAAGCAAATATTGGATAAGCCAATGCTTAAACTTGGATGCCAATATTGGTTTTAAGACCCACAACCAATAGTGGTCCAATGATGGCTTAGGTGTTGGTTAAATTGTAGCCAAACGTTGGCTTAAATGTTGGTTGAAAGGCGGTATGAAAGGCATGAATGACGGTCCAATATTGGTTCAAATAGTGACCGAATCTTGGTTTGACATTGGAATTATTGAATGGTCCACCATTGGATCGGGTAGCGCTTTCGTTAGTCAACATTGGAGCGAAGATTGGCCAGTGGCGGGCCCATAATGGTCCAACAAGGGTGAGCTGCTTGGGGGGCTTTTGACATCGAGTGCTTTCGTGCACGACCCGATCATTCATCGCAGACCAACTTTCTGTAAAGCGGTATTCTTCGGGAAACTTGGAAGTCCACTGTGATAAGAGTTTCTGTGATCCTTTACTGTATAAAACACAAATTCCGGGCAACTGGGAAGCGATAACAGAGGGTAAAATTTTCTTGGCGTTCAAAATCAGTGTAAATGAGGATGACGGTTGCATCAGTCCGTCGTCACTCGTTTTATAAAATACGGAATTCGGATTCATCTGGGCCGAGGTGTAGCAGCGTGTTACATTTTTTCGTGTTTTCTAAATAAAATTCAGTTGCCAGTAGCGCGCCGAGTGTGCAATCCTACTTTTGTTGCTCGTTTTTTTTTTTTTTTTTTTTTTTTTCTTTGTTTTTTTAAGTTTAGGTTTTTAGCGCCTGACTTCACTTTCGGCTAGACTTTAAATCAAGACCAACATTTTCGTCTGCTATCAGTGCCTTGGCGCCATGTTAGAGGTATTAGGGCTCTTATTGTGGAACCAGTAGTGCCGTAAAGTCATATAGCCGTTATTGTATAACCACATTTCAGAATAGTGTCTTGTTCGAGTCAATCACTAGGAAGTTCTTCACCTGACACCAAGTGCAGTCCACAAGCCCGTACTTAGGGTACGAAGTTTTTCTGTCGAGATGATAGAGTCCACATAATAATCTATTACGTTGAATCTATAACGCGGACATCGTTTTTCTTCTTTTTTTCCAGTTGACGGTCTTGATGAGCCCATATTGCTGGCGACTCTTTAATATGCACAGTGAAGGAGCAAAACATCACCATTTAGTTCTGTACCTTGTTATTGTCTTCTTCACTTTGCAGAAAAGCACCTGAATCGCGCTTTGACAAAATTAAATAAAATTGACAAGCGCTCGAGCAATTTCAAGTTGTTGAGGCGAAACGAACACGCTTAAACCAGCCTATTCCAACATGCTTCCACTATTAAGCCAATGGTATTGTCAGACTAACACACACTGACCATTATATGCCACTGTGTTCTTAAAATGACGATGAACCATTGGTACCAGCAGGACCACAGTAACCATTATAAGCTCGTGTTTATCAAACGTTGGCAAGCCAATGCGAGACAAGCAAACACTGTCCATTTTATGCCAGTCCCATCAGATATTGGAATGCCAACGGCACAGACAGGCCAACGTTGACCATTTTAATCCAGTGCTCATCCAATGTTAGCAAGCCAAGGGTACTCAAAGGCCAACATTGTCTGGTTTATGCCAGTATTCATCCAATATTCGCAAGCCAATGAAACTGACAGACCAAGATTGCCCATTTTATAGCAGTGTTCATCCAATATTCACTAGCCAATGGAACTGACAGGCTAACATTGCCCTTTTTATGCCAGTGTTCATCCAATATTCGCAAGCCAATGGAACTGTCAGGCCAACATTGCCCATGTTTTGCCAGTGTCCATCCAATCTTCGCAAGCGAATGGAACTGACAGGCAAAGATTGCCCACTTTATGCCAATGTGCTTCCAATATTGGTTGGTCATTGGAGGAGCTGGGCTATCACTAAAGATTCTATATAATCGCATTGACAATATTGGGAGC